CATCAAAGGGACAGAGACAAAGGCAGTGACAGCTTCAGATCCACCAGGGCTGTCATCTTGTACATTAGGAATCTTCTGCATTTGGATCTGATGTTTTTTCTAGTAAATCAAAGCAACTGTGTGAAAGCTAGGGGTGAAAATGATTACAATTGCTTCCAATTGATTAACTTGATCAATATCTTCTCTGTTTTTACTGCTGCACAGTCAATGACCGGTGCACTTCCCCCTGTCAGGACTTCCTGCAAAGCCATGGAGCCACAGCTCTGAGTTATCAGCAAAGTCTGTCCCACAGTGATGGGATTTATGATGTGCCACAGCCATGTGCCACTGATAAACACTGCGTACTGAGCACAGGGCATATCCCAAACAGATTGCCTCTGCATGTGTGCACGTATGAAGTGAAGACACTGGCTTCACAACTCATCTGAAGAGACTGGATATCCAGGTCATGTGTCAGCCGGCACAGCACTGGAATTACACACGGGATGGGAAGTCATTTAACACGGAAAGTCCTTGAAATGCTCGCTGATGGAGATAGCACAAGCTGATTTCCATCAGGAACAGCAGCTGTAAAACCTGCTGTGCAAAACACATAAAACTGCTGTTTAGCTGACATTAGAAGGACGTGTGTAGACAGTTTGAGACACTAGATAACACCTAGTTTTACTTTCGCTGCGCACATCTGTTGTAGGTATTTTTACTTCTCTTTCTCTGGAGGTTTCTAAGACTACGCTGATTCATCTTTGGGAAAGACTTTCAGCATCCTGTCCAAAGTGTGTTCAAGTAAATTAAGAGATGTTTTGGACTATATCTGCAGCACTGTAATGTTTACTGCTAGCTTATACAACAGTAAAAAGTGTAGAACCATTTTTCAGAGCTGGCCACAAAGTGCCTGTACCAGCACAAAAAGAAGGATGGTACACAACCCCAGGAGCCAATGCTCCCAGTTTTCAAAGACAAAAATGACTGAAGAGCTCAGTGCCACCACTCAGAGCTGGCAGGGACAGTAACACCTGATTCTCACCAACAGTTTTAAAAACCTCTTTGTAGGAAAACAGAGCAAACAGAAAGGGAAGTAAAAAGAAAATAGTAAATAAGAACAGATAATAGGTCATGCCTGGTTATTTAGATCTTCATTTTCAGTGGTCTTTTAGCACTTCTGCAATGCAAAGGGATTTCCACACACCTGATGGTGACTTTCACATAATACATCTTTTTTGCACTGTATCTGTAATCCTGCCTGCAGTATAGTATTAAAATGCATGATTAAATCACTTCTGCCTAAATAACTGATGTAATAATACTGTGGGCAATGTGAAAAAATGTGGACATAGGTTTCAACAAACCTATGCTGGTTCTAGCTGTATGGAGCTTTGAAGTTGTCTCTGTCACTTGATTTTGTGAAACTGTAGGTCAAATAAATGCAATAAAACAGACCTGTTATTGTTTTTTTTTTTTGTTAGTTTTGCTAAAATGTCTATTCTGAGTTGCTGAAAAACAGCAAAGTACTATAAGAATCACTTGGAGATTTGCTCTTCTATGGAGTGTTCCTGTGTTTAAAATTGAAATAAAAGCCTCATGTACGTGTGTGCATGGGTGAGTGTGCATATATTTATCTGTATACATACATATATGTATCCATATATGTGTGGAAATAACTAGCTGGAAATGTTTGTAGCTAGATCTGAATCACATCATTTTAAATAATTATTGGCTTTCTTCCTCACTCTTCACAGGTATATCAATTTATAAAATAAAACACTTTCAGGCACTGCTTTGAAGTGTCAGTGATCTCAAAATGATATGCTTACATTCAGATATTGTCTTCAAAAGTCCTAACCTACGTAATTCTATATACTTTTTAAAAAGCTTTTTTTGTTAATGCATTGCTCTAATTCACTACTCTATTAATACAAGTGTGCTAAATGTATCATAGAATGACACAAATATAGAAAGACTCCACACAGGATTGAGTCTTGGGCTCAGTAATACTGATAAATATCTGCAATTATTTTGAATTTATAATGAAGAACTCTCCTTAATGGTGTTGTACAAGTCCATGCAGAGCAACTTGCTGATAATCTAGCAGCTGAAGCATAGATTTCTTTCTTGGTGGGAGTTCCATCATGTGTATTTTAAGAAAAAATGATGATGGATCTCAAAGGCCTGGAAAAAAAATCATTTTGAAAGCGAAAGACCTTGCTCAAAACTAAACTTTTCAGGAGCTAGAACATTTCAAAGTACCACAATATTTTCTAAAATTTTTGGAGGAAAATGCATCTCAAAAATATGGCATAGTTTCAATACGTTGCTGCATTTCAATGATCAAAGGCTTTGATTAAAGATAAATACCAGGCACAGTCATCAGGACCTCAAGAATGCTGCTTGCAGAGGTGTTGAACCTCATCTTGAGGAGTGGATCAGTCAGCTTAGGAGGTCAGAATTAGCAGAGCAGACCTGACCAGTACTTTGGGGGTAATGAGATGCTAGTATTGCCAAACCACACATCAAGCATGTAGCATTTAATCTAAATCTCAGTCGATCTATCGTTAACCTTCATCAGATTTTTGAACCAGCCCTACTATAAAGGGATTACTAATACATTTTTCAATGTTAAAAAGCCCTAGAATTTGCATTTTTACGCTCCTGCTGTTTTTGTATTTAAAAGAGTGGATAGGCATTTCTAAGATGCATTTTAATCTCATGGGGTCAATGCTTTGACACAAGGATCTTGTAAAACCTTGTTTTTACCATGTTTGCATTATTAGTCAAGTTACATTTTACAACCGTTCACCTTAACCAAGTCAGAGAAACAAAATGCAGAATTCCCAGGTAAGCCAGGAGTAAAAATAATATAGCAATGCTTGGATGGGTAAAATAATTTTAATACATGCAATCAGTGCTCAGAAATGAGTATAAAAGGAGGGTGGAAACTACAGCGGCTGTTACTGCCTGCTTCAGAACTTAATACACAGTTCCCCTTCCACTGTCTACACTTCTAAGTATTACTAGACTGAATTGTATCATACATGGCTCTGAGCACCAAAGGCGCTCCCAGCACAATGTGTTTGAATTTGCCTTAAGAAGAGGTAATCAGCTACCTCAGATCTTCAAAGGGTTCATTTGTCTATACTTACTTGAAAGTGAATATAAATTGGAAGGCTGTTATAAAGCAACATCAGAATGACTGGATGGTGTGAAATAAATGGGGAGCTGACTGTGCACATGGAAAGCAAGATGTAGCAATGAAATACTTTCTTGCTGCTATCAATGATGAGAAACTGAAATCACATAATTTGGAAGAAAGGGTTACAAGGACAGTGGTTTCATATTTCAGGTGGAACATATGGGTTCAGCACAAGAATAACACTTCTAAATACCTCCAAATTTCTTGACCAGGGAGATGAAGTAGATTGCTGAACAGCCTCTCAAGCTGTGATGTGTCTCACTATTTGGGTCATTTAATTCTGAGAGGGAAGGCAACTTGGCGTAATGCATGAAAACTCCATTCCACGAAAAGCCCAAACTTTTGTTTTTTTCTCCTTGAGAATGACCAAGCAAACGTGTACATTAAAAAATCCACTAAGTCTTTGTGGAATGATTCGCTTCATGCGCACTTAATATTGTAATCCTTGGTGTTTGACATCTCTCCTTGTTATGTCCCTGCTTTGGTTGAAACCTGCACCAGGAGCAATAAAGACCAAAGCAAGGAAGGAAGCAAAGGAAGACAGAATTAAAAGAAATACTGCTTTGTAAATCCAGTAATAAAAATAAGACAAAAATATATAAGATGAAAAGGAAAGAGAAGAAAAGAAGCACTGTTCAAACTCAGCATCACCAAAATGTTTTTTTTTTTCTCTCTTTTTTTTTCCTTCATAGATGCCAATTGCAAATACAAGATGTCAAAATTCTAATGAATGTTAGCAAGGACACCAGAAGTCATCAGTGCAATAAACACCCAAAGGGGATTTAAATTGCAGAGGACTGTGCACATTTCACAGCTTAAAATAAACTGCGGCTTTGCAAGAAGGGCACAATCATGACTCTGCATATCTTACGTGGGTTTTATGGTGTGTTAGTAGCTAAACTCGCTATGAAAAAAAGGGCTTTCGTTTTAAAAGCTTATAAAGCACGATTCGTAGGAGGGGTTGATGCCTACACAATTCTTTTAATCAACTTTTAGAGGTATTCACGCAGATGCAGATGCAGGTGCCAGCTGTTTCCCACAAGAGCTCTGGTACATCATTTACAGAGTCTCCGTCGCTCCTCAGGAACTTAAATTTTCTTTTAAGCTTGGGTCATTGTAGCTAGGGTCACTGCTAAATCCAGGTCTCAAGAATGCACAATACCTTTCACTTTTGGTTAGTCACCATCACTTCAAACCAGCATTCCTCTTTTGATGTAGTGTTTGGTCAGCTGGTTTTTGCAGAGTGCTTTTCCCCCTCAGTGAACGTACTGGATAGCCTAACTAAGCTTTGTGTAGGATTCTGCATTTTACAGTCAGCCTTCAGGGATGCTAAACTTCAGAGTAAGGAAACAGTAATTAAAAGTGACTGGGACAAGAAGCCCCGATACTAGGAAATGTGGACTCAATTGTCCTTGACACAGGCAGAACGAAGCAGCAAGATTTGGTTTTGATTATAGCTTTACTTGCTATTTTAATAAACATGAGCCAGTATTCAAACTTTTAATATCCTGCTGCTTAACTATTTCCAAAAAGCAATCCAGTTCTTTTAAACAGCCCTTGTTTGAAAATTTTAATTTGTTTGGCTCTGTCCCTGCCTAGAGAAGTTGTAGCCTCTCGGTAACTCTTTTATATGTTCACTTCCAGAATCACAAGCAATCTATTTTTTTCAACTAAGTGTTTCCGCATGTGCCAAAAGTGTCAGGCTGACAGCTTTCCTGCACTGTTTTATCTGGTTCCCACAGTAAGTATGAGAGACAAACACAGGAATGTGTCTAGCACTGACTATGCCCATCAAGGATACAATGATACTTACAGCTCTTCCAGGAAGCGGAGATTGTGCACGGGGTTCGAGGGCAGCTTAGTAATGTTGTTCATACTGAGATCACTGTAGGGGAAAACAGACAGAGACTTAATATGGCATGTCACAACTGCGGTATCCAGCTGTTCATTCCACACATTTTTAAGTAACACATTAAAAAAATTAGTTCCTGTGCCAGAACTGATGAATCATTATCTAGTTAGCACTTTAAACATTCTACTTTTGTATGAAAATGGCTTTGTCAAAGCAATACAAGCTATTGCATGTTCCTTATTTCCAAAAAAAATTTGGAATGTTTTATCACTCTCCATAAATCAGCTGGAATACTAAACAACCCTTTTAGGCTGCATAATTTTAATAAACCACTGTACTATATTAAAATTTATTTGGAGTAGTAAAGGAAAACTACTCTGATATTCATTGTCGTTGCACTGCAGCATACCGTAGGTTTACTAAAGCAGACAAGCAAAGCTGCACAGGTGCAAACTATTTGCATGATTCTTTACATTTCATGAGCATGGAAAAATAATGCTTTTGCTGTACAACTTGCTGTATGAGCCTACTGATTTTCCATGTGTCACATTAGGTGTCCCCAAAACCCAACTCACTTGTGTTAAATAAGGGACATATTTTCAAAAAATAAACATCGCCGTTCTACAGTGCTCTTTTTTTGCAAGTTCTCAAATTGCATTAAATAAGTGAAATGAACCATAAAACAAGGGTGTAATGTGATCCTTCTCTGTAGCACACTTCCTGGTGGGGTTCCACAGTAGTTCCTGGCACAGGAAACAACCAGCCATATCAGCTCTGTCAGAGATCATTCAGGCTATGGTTCAGGCTACAATTCATACAATAACTGCTTATTCTGAAGGTGTTTCTTCATTTTTTCCATTGTCTTGCCCAGCACTGTCATTACGATTGACTTGCGTTAGGAGTAAAAACAGTACACAGACTGCATTATAAAATTCTACACAGAAGATAAAACTTATACAACTATGTCAGAATTATTATAGATGCTGTTAAAATAAAAATATCAGAGGACGGCATATTTTATGCAATGTTATGTGATCGTTTTAATAAAGCAGTATAAACATATATACTTGAAAGCACACTTAAAGGTTCTAGCAGCTTTGGATGGTATTTGAATAACCTTATTTCTTCAAGCTGTTGGAAGCTCATAAGGCAAATAAGTTATCTGTACTTTGGTGGGTAGGCATCCTATTCCTATTCCTATTCCTATTCCTATTCCTATTCCTATTCCTATTCCTATTCCTATTCCTATTCCTATTCCTATTCCTA